GCTGAAGGTCTGGAGGCAGGAATGGCCCTCAGTGCTGCAGAAGGTTTTCCACCTTGCCAAGCCTCTTGGCGTTTTTTTGAGGGAGCATCAGTGTACCTGACAAATATCCTCGGGAAGGGCTAGGGCTGGATGTAGCCTCTGGGACCTCTGTCCACAGAGCATTCCCGTGGTCCCTGTGCTGCAGTCTGCTTTTCCTGCAGCGCCGAGCCGTGGTGCAGCACTGCCTGTCTGCACACTAGAGCCCCTGTCTGTGGCAGCACAGTGCTGGGCTCTATGCTGACTGGCTCATCAGCATGTAATTAGCAGCTTGGGGGTAATCAGTCTCTGCGGCTGCTGACAGTGCAGTGCAGCTTCGACACAGGCACCACATGTGTGCTGATCGTGCTCCTGTGTCCAGAAAAGATGAGCAAGTTCTTCCACTGCTCTTTGGGAAGGAACTGGGAGAGAATCTCCCAGTGCCTCCTGAGAGCCAGGAAAGCTGCCTCTGCCAGTTCCTGCCATGTGCAGGCAGTGCCAACGTGACCTGGATGTTCCAAGGGTGTTCTGTAGGGTGGCTCTTTTAACTGGCAGCAAATAACCAGCTTCATGAGTAGTTTCAGTCACCTCTGCAGGTTGGAACTGTGATTAAACTTGTTGCATATGAGTTCTTCCTCTGCTAGGTCAGCAAAGAGGCCTCTGACTTTGCTCTTCCTGGTCTGAAGACCTAGATGGATATGGTTGGATTTTTATTGTTTTTTTTTCTTTTTCCCCCAGCCACTGATACAGAACAGACTTCACATCCTACTTTATCTTTTCTATATGCTGTGTATTTCCATGAACTTGAACTTCCCCTCATGGAAGTGAATCAGTGAATGTTGCTTTTCATTTCAAAGTGGCAGTGACTGGGTTTGGCCAGGGCTGCTCCCCACAGCTGTTAACTCTTGGCACTGGCAAGCTGGAAACTCCAGATTAAAGATTCCAAAGCTAATCAAAGGAATGGTTTGTCACAAACTCAAGGATGTCAGGGGGGCTGTATCCATCATGGGGTGTGATCTGTGGCCAAATAACTTCCCTGCTTTGCTCTCTTTCAGACATTGTGTATCCTTGCCAATATAGCAGATGGGACGACAGCAAAAGAGCTGATCATGACCAATGATGACATCCTGCAGAAAATCAAATACTACATGGTAGGGGGAACTTCTCTCTGAGGCTTCATGTTGGTGTTTGGCAGGAATGGAGAGAGGAAGGTGCTTGAGGGTTTTGTTGTGTGAATACTCACTGTCATGCCATTCCCATGTACCCAGTGGTGTGTGAGAAATCAGGTAGTGCAGTTCTGTGTGGCAGAGGTGCAGTGAGGAGCTGGCTAAGGGGGAAATCCAGTGGTTATTTCCCATAAGAATGTTACAGTGACTTAAGCAATACCAAATCTACATGGAAAGCATGATCTTGGAAAAGGCTTGTCTGGGAGACATCAGTAATTACTTGGAAGGGAATGTTTGGGCAGCACTCGAGTGCTTCTGTCATGGCCCTACCTTTGAGAGAAGCTGCAGCTAAGAATTAGTCTCAGCTCTGCTGCCTTAGTTATTGCAGGATGAATGGCAAAATGTGAGTCTGAGAATTGCTGAATTTCTTCTTCTAAACTTGAGTTTTCTTTTTCTATATTTAGAGTCATTCAAATGCTAAGCTTCAGCTTGCTGCCATGTTCTGTATATCCAACCTCATCTGGAATGAAGAGGAAGGTAAGAAAGCCTCGTTACCAGTGCACGTGCAAGTTACTATCCTGATTAAAAGGCTTTTGCTGCATAGTAGTCAATATTTGCAGTGCAGGCACAGTGGGATCCAAAGTGTAATGGGAGACATCACTGGAGATGTGATACGGAATAGGTGGGAGTGGTCAGGAGGGCATTGAGGAAGGGCCGGGAGCTGTTCTGGGGCAGGAGGGGTAGACACAAGGGAAGAGTGGCAGTAAATAGGAGCTGGGCAGTCACACAGTGGGAATTTTTTCCCTGCAGCATTCTGTAAGGTGGGACAAAAACTGGAGCGAAAGAGAATCCTGGTAAGAGAACTTCAAGATTGTAAAGAGGTTGTGTAAACTCCTTGTTGGAGAGAACAGGTCGCTGGAGAGTATCAGTGGATCAGAAGGGGATTTGTTGAAGAGAAATTTTCCACAGCATGGATGGTTAGAATGGGTTTGGCAACAAGACTGAAACCAGTCTCAGGACTTGAGTGAACTGGAAGGAATGGGGAAGCATTTGGTGAGGAGAGTCATGGCTCCAGCAATGGGAGGTAGCCAGGAGGCAGCTGAAGGATGCTGCTGCACAGAATAACCTGGCGGTGGGGAGAGGTGGGGAGGGCAGAGGTCAGGCTCAGAAACACCCCCCCAGGTAAATGTTTCTGCATCCAAAGCCTGTGAAACCAGAGAGGTGAGAAGAAACAGCTGAAATCAAGCTTCTTACCTTAGGATGAAGATCCTTCAGCATTTTCTTTTCTCTGAATATATGGACACAGGTTACAGAAGAAGGTGCTGGAGCTCCCGTGGGAAGTAGCCCCAGCTGCAGGAGTGTTCCCTGTGCCCAGAGCTGTGTCCCATGCCTCTCCTTTAAGCTGCTTTCTGCTGCCACTCCTGTCTGCTGTCCTGCAGAGCGTTGGGTTTGGTGTTCCCAGCGATGTGCTCTGTCGTTGCAGGTTCACAGGAACGCCAGGATAAACTCCGAGACATGGGAATAGTAGATATTCTACACAAACTGAGTCAGTCATCAGATCCAAATCTGTGTGACAAGTGAGTATAGACACAATATAGGATCACCAGTTAGTCATCTCAATTAAATTCCCTTACTCTAACTAAGCTCAACAGTAGCTTTGCACATACCTCTGAGTTCTGCTGCTCACAGGACTATGTGCACAGGTCATCTTGCTGCTTCCCAAACATGTGTAACCAAAACAGCTAATGACTTTCTGCTCCTTTATGTTCATTTTTTGCAATTTTCCCACCTGCAGTTAATACCAGCCCATATTTCTCCCATGATCCAAAGGAGGTGATCTGATTTTTGGAAGAGGTCACAGACAGACAGCACAACTCAAAACTCTGCAGTGGTTTCAAATGCTTGAAATCTGGGGTTCTGGGCTTTGTGGAAGCTATTCTGGTCACCTTAGACATCTTTATAGTAAAGTTAGGACTTCTCTGTTTGAAATCTCTGCCAAAGGATCAGCGCTGAAGTTGATAATCAGGGATGTATTGATAGCCAGGGATGTATTGATAGCAATAGGCAGGTCCAGAGGGGGGAAAAAAGAGAAAAGCTGAACAGGGTTTTCAGACAGTGAGAAACAGGAGTAAAGCTTCAACCAGTAAAATGGTTTCTGGTGAGTGGGCCTTGCTTGTGAGCATTTAAGGGCCGGGGGGCTGAAGGTGCTTAGTGCTGTTGCAAGTCACTGTCCCTTCTGCTGCTTCTGGTCACCTGCTCCCACTGCTCCCCCTGTGCCTGCTCTGCCCCACTGGCCCCTCCTTGAGCTGACAGGACTCGTGAGCACAGCAGGGAAGTTGGAAGGGAAGAAGAAATATTCTTCCTCTGGGTTGCTGAGTTGTTTCAGGTCTTGGAAAAGTCTGTCAGGGTCATGGCAGCAGGTTTGGAACTGCGGGGGACAGAGAAAGAGCAAAGCGTCTCACTTGACGTGGTAGGAAACTGAATTAGCTGAGGTGATGATGCAGACTTGGGAGGTGTTTTTCTCCAGCTGGTGCTCCTGAGGGTTTTTCTGGGGTGTGTGGCTGGTGAGGCTCAGTACACCTCTGCATCTCCAGCTGCTGGAAGTGCCTCAGTTTGTGCTGAGCACCCAACACGCTTGGTCAGACCCTCTTGTCTTGAGGTGCAAAG